TCAAAGTAAAAAAAAAAAAAAAAACTGGTGCTAAAAGCAGTCAGCGTTTGTTCATCTTTAGGGATATTTCAACATTTTGGGAACTACATCTGTTCTCAGTTCTGCTGAGAGATGTTCATAGTGGTACCATTGTCATGCTTGTGCAGTAAATATGAAGCCACAGTCTGCTCACAACTAGCTTGGATGAAGTTAAACACTGGAAACGGGGAGAGACAGTGAGCTCGGGTCTGTCAGAAGTAAGTAAATTCACCTTGTGCACGCTTTTTTTTCCTTTTTCAGGGGGTTATGTTCTGAACTTGCATCCCGTTCAGATGGGATTTCTGTGTCAATGGGATGGTGGTGATTTTAACACCATTCATTGTGTAGCTGGGTAATTTTCACCCCATCTCTAGTCATAATTAATGATAAAGCAGCAATGTTTTTTTTGTTTTGTTTTGTTTTTACAAACATGCAGTTTGTCCTGTAATTTAAATCCTGTCCAGAACAACATCCTTGTATTTTAAAGCAGGGTATATTTATTATCTGTTAATCCACTAATTGTCTATTTCATTAAGTGTTTTACCTTAGAAATTTTGAAAAGAGTGAAAAGGACCTTGTGTAATGTACCATAGCTCAAGGTAATGTATTCAAAGAGCTGGTCTGATTCAACCCTCAGTTCAAATCCTACAAAAATTCAATTTGTAGTCATGTGACAAACATTGAATCAGATGTTGTCAGACTTGTGAAGCTACAATGAGTGTGTACCTTGAGCTTGAAAAATAAAAGCAGCAATTAATTGACTTGATTATCAGTTAAAACGGTTGCCAATTAATTTTGTCTGAATTAATAAATTGATAGTTGGTGTTCTGCAAACTTTTACTGCTGAGGATCTGCTCGTCCCTCTGTTTTGTCAGCTCAGGGTGAAACTTTTGTGTGAAAATGGAGTAAGGCCAAATGTTTTAGATCTATAAATAATCTGATAGATGTAAACATGCAAACGCCAACGCCAACATACTGGCTGATTTTACTTTGTAAAGGCGGCTGCACCGCCTGTATTCAGGTTTTGGTACTTGTAGCACTTCCTGTTTTCAGTTCACCCATGGATGTACAGACAATTTATCAGCAGATTAGTTTGGCAAGTTCTAGGAAATCAGAGATGATAATATCATCAAGAAGTATAAGTCGCACTACATGAAATCCGTGTGTCTTCAGATTTGGCTGAGTTCTAAGTCTGAGAAGGATCAACATTTGTGACTAATTTCTGTTTGCATCCTCTTCAACTTTCTGACATCCTCCTGGAGCGGTTTTTCTCTTTTGTCTTCATCCCTGCTGAATGTCTGTCCTGTAATTTCACCAGGGTTAAAGTGCCAGATGGGTTAAATTACAGAGGAGCAGAGCAAAGACTTCACTGCTCAGCTCCCTCTGTAGTGTTGGTTCTGTCTGAGTGGGACTTCTTTCTTTCTGCTACACAAGAACCACAGACTCTGTACTTAAATGAGCTTTTATGCTAAAGTCTCCTTCTTAGCTAACTTGCTGTACAAGCATAAACACAACCTCGTCCTGCACCTTAGCTTACTGAACAAGCCAACAAGAGGAACAAGTGAAGGTGCGCTGTTGATGTCAGTTTGTGGACTAGATGGCTCTGGCTGCTGTCAGTCAAACACAGACATGCCCAAAAGGAACATCTGATATTTGCTCAAAGACCTTTTCTGGAAAGCGAATTCAAGTGGCTGTAAAATCTTCCCCTGCTTCTCACTCGGTGTCAGTTGCGACCAGCTCCAGCCCCCCCCCCAACCCTCGGGGATACATGGGCACTAATGAACAGATGGATTTTAAAGCTTGTGTTATTTACATTGCATCGAATGTGAAGGTTTTCACTTTAACACAAGTGCTTAAACTTAGCTGCACTGAAGCAAAATGAATGTTACCTATGAATACCTTGTACTTTTATTCATAGCTGCATCTTGTTGCTCATGCTTTTGTAGTTTTACAGGACTTTTACTTGTAACATAAACCTCTTGTAGTGTGATATTTGAAAGATCTCAGTGCCTCTTCACCACCAATCTTAGGTTTTTGGTTGTTGCACATGGACCCTGCTGAGTTAGTCTAAATAATCCTAATGAGGCGGGGGTCAAATTCTTTGGACGGTGGTCCAAGTTTCCACCTGCACAATCAGATCAATTTGGCTGTGGTGTCTGATGTGTTTTCTAATTTTTCTCAGCAGGTGTCCCCCCTCCTCCCTCATTCATGGGAGGGGTTGCTCTGCTCGGCCTCTTTTTCCTCTCTCGTGTTTTCTGAGTCTTCTCTTGACGGAAGGAGAAAAGGTGCCGAGCGAGGACAGAAGACAAGAGGAGGACTCGGCTTCCTTCCCTTGGTGTGGTTTCCTGTTTGTAGGTGGGAGGATGTTGAGACGGTTGCAGCAGCGTTCAAATAACTTTGCAGCTTTTTAACACCCGGCAACACTCTGAGGTGTCACAGTTACATCTCCGGGTTGGTGCGAGGTGTTTGTTTGTTTTTTTTTTGTCTCTGACATTTTGCTGTTTTTGCTGAAGGCCCCCTTTTCCAGTTTCCATCACCAGTTGCAGTTGAGCGTCTGAAAGAGGGCAGTTTGCTCATCCCACACACCTCATTCAACTTTTACAGTAGTTGGTTGGTTAGTGAGTCACCCTTTGCAGAGGTTGGTGACACATTCAGTAACTTGAATCTTGTGCTGAGAATTTAGTCATTAAGTGTTTTCTGCATTTTTAGAGCACTCTCTGGAGAAACGTGACCTGAATCGGTGTCATCTTTCTCAGAGGAAACACTAAGAAGACAGAACATTAGAGGATCTGGGGCAGGTGGTGAAAAGAAACTCATCGTCTCAACTGAGGAGGTGATTGGGTGCAGCGGTGACAGAGGAGGAGAGTCAGTCACAGAGAGAGTGGGAGGAAAGAGTCAAGCTGGTCACTGAAGGTGCAGATCATACAACTGCCAGGAAAATAGAAAGAGGAAAGTGAGCAAAGAGGTCTTCAGTCATGGCAGATATTTGGTGACATTAGTCTCATGTGGACCAGATACTGTGGGGGACACAAGACCAGCCATAGGCCCTGAAACATCGCTAGCCCTCCTCCCGTTCCTCCATTCAGCCGTCTCCTCAGTCGACATTAGTCCTCAGGTGTAGGTGAGTTTTCCCTTGTTTTATTTCCTCAGGTGTTAGTTGTGTGACCTCATGATGGAGGAACCTCAGTTTATTCCCAGCATACGCGTGGAGGAGGTCGGGGTGAGCACTGAACCACACCCGCAGTTTTCACACTGAGGCCTAGTGAAGAAGCCAAACCCTTGTTCGCTTCATGGCCCAATAATGCTCATGTTTTAGATGTGCTGCTGCCACAGGCCAAGTCATTACCATCTTGGCTCATTGGAATCATGGGGCTTCTCTGTACACCAAAAGTGCATGTTGAACATTGTACAAAGTAAGGCCATTATTTACAGTAGAGCGCATCTGTGCATGCTATAACAGCATGTGCTGATTTTCCACCAGGTGTTGCAGGCCAAAGTTCAACTTGTACCCAAAATACACTGACCTCCAACACAGTGCATCCAGTGGGATTTTGTCTCAGGCAGAACAGAGAAGTTGTGGCTTTCCAGAGTAGTATAACTTTACTCTCCGATCCTGCCAGAACTCGAGAAAAAGAACTGAAAGCCTGGCAGAACCTTTTTTTTTTTTTTTACTCCTTTGCATCTGAATGTGGCACACACTTTTACCAAATTTTGAGCCAACATGCAAAAGAATTTGGGTCATTGAGATCAAACAGCCTGAAATGCCAAATCATCAATAACTGGGTCATCCCCTAATACTGAGCAGGGAGCTGCTGGCTGTAAAAGTAACGATAACCAAGTGCATTCACTAAAGCACTGTACTTAAGAACAATTTTAACGTACTCATACTTGAGTACTTTTTGCTCAAATACATATATTGGACAGTTGCATTTTTACTTTGTAGCAGATTTTGAAACTTAACCATCTCACTAACAATGTATGCATTATTACAGGTCAGCTATTCAACACTGTGTTAAGTATTCAGAAGTAGCTCCACCCGGAGCAGCTCCACCAGTAAAATGCTGCCTACACATTCATGCATCAGTATTAATATCAATGTGGTTTTTTAAAAAATCATCTAACACTTACTGGAGTTAGTTTGTGTCTTCCTAGTGGGTATTTTTACTTTGATACTTCAACTTTATGTCTGATTATACTTCTCTACTTTTACTTAAGTAGGAGTTGGAATCAGAACTTTTACTTGTAATGGATTATTTTACATCTGAATGCTTCTTAACCTGTACCGTTTAGATTTATCCTACTTGCGCCAATCCAGTTCTTATTCTATTCTATTTTTTTCTACTTTATTCTATTGTAGTTTCTAAATGTTATGGCACCCAGTACTAGGTGAGAGAGAAACGGTATTTCGATTTTCTGTATGTCCTGCACATATGGTGAATTGATAATAACATCCTTGAACCTTATTTCCTGACTTTAAATGATCATTTTGTTTATTTTAAACTGCATCACACCTGTTTTCATAAAGATAAATGTTTTTGATCAACTTTCATGTTGGTTCTTCACTGAAGACTCAGCAGAGTAGTTACTTATTTGATTCAAATCTATCATTGCCTACTGGAGTCACACTTCCGTTCCACATATCTGGCCTTCCTATGCTTAATTGTGTTGGTTGGCTGCCTTTTAATCAAACCTTTCAGGGCTTACTGTGGCGTGTGTGTTTGGTGCATGGCATGCTAAGAGATGGAGCCACAACTCACAAGATGGCCGCCCATCACACTGCAGTGCTGTGTGAGGAGCTGAGTTAGACCCTTTGGAAATCAGACGTTTGTAGTTTAGAAGTGAGTAAGCAAATAGGTTCTTTGCGGCAGGTTTCTGTGGCGATTTCGATGCCTGGTCTGAACCAGTGGAGGCATTTTCTGTGAAGTGCGTTTCCAGGCTTTGGAATCGACTGATTGTTTAAGTGCAGCACTGAGCTTTACAGAGGAAAAAAACTGAGCTGTACCAGTTGGCTGTACCACATGTGAAATGGTTTTCCTTCCTGTGTGACGCACCTCTGTGATCAGGAGGAAGATTATCATCAGCAGGTTCATCTTCTGACACCCCAGGAAAGTGAAAACCACCAGTTATATAGTACAGAGCAGGCCATTTCATTTTTAAAACATGGTTTCCTCTTGACACGTGTTCATAGATAAGTACATAATAGTGAATAAAGACAAAATGAGTTCTGTTCTGAGGTTTTTTTTGGCTGCAAATTGGATTTTGTCTTTTAAAATAATTTACCGCCACTGACAGAGTTGTAGGTTTCAACATCTAAACCTATGGCATGATGTGTACTGTAGATTAGCTCTAAGGTCTGTGGTGACCCTGGTCCAGTGTCCACCCCGAGCCCCGATCTCCATCATATCCCAGGTTATGTCCACACCAAGCTGGTTAAATCAGAAAAATATACTTATCTGATATGTAGCCCTCTTTATGCTAAACACAAAGAAAATGTATTCTGATATGTTAGAATAGCATAAAGTACAACAGAAATAACATAGAACAAACTTTAAAATGGCACTAAAGCATTTTATTGACCAGATATTTTCCGATTATCAGTATGTCAGAGGTTTTTCCTGGGTTTCTTTATTAGAGCAGCACAATGTGGATTAATCCACCACTGAAAATAGTCCCCAACAAACTGTGCTATTTCCTCCAGTTTAAGTGATTTGTTTCCACTGAATACTGGGAGACAGTAACACAGATTAGCGGATTTGGCCTTTAAAGCTTTGCATCTCCCTTAATTTTTTCCTTGAGTTTATTTAATTATAATCAAATGTGGAGGATGGGTCATAATTTAAAATTATTGAAGCACTTCAAATTACAGAGCAATGAGAAGAAGAAGAGTATATTAGAGCTATGATGGTTACTCAATTAGTTAATCAAAAGTAAATCAGCAACTCGGCTAATAATTTAATTTATAAAGCAAAAATGTCAAAACTTTTTCAAATTCTAGAATTAGTCACTTTATCTTACATTATGGTACATTCAGTATGTGTGGACTTTGATGTAATGGTCCATCATTGGATGTCATCACCTTGTGCTGTAGGGTGTTGTACAGTTTTCTGATGCTTTACAACTTAATGATTTAATGAGAGAATCATTGTTAATCAATAATGAAAATAACCATTAGGTGCAGCCCTAATAATAAAGCTCTTATACAGGCAAGCATTAAGGACAAGGATGTTGGTCCAACTCTGTCAGGTTGCATCTCAGAGAGAGATTGTGTGTGATGGTGATTTTCTTCATTCAAACCTTCTACACACAGTTTGGACACTTTTAGACTGGTCATGTGAATACAGTTTTTGTTTTTTTCAATGAAATTAGCAGTTTCGCCATAATTGGTACTAAATGACAATGTGCTTCACAAAAACCTTCTTAGGAAATTTCAAAAATAGTAATAGCAAAATAGTGTTGCCAAATAAAGTCCAGGGGATCTGACCAAACCTCAGCTGCACATGTTGGTTTTGTTACGAGCGCTTTAAGAGCTACAGTATAACAATCCAAATGTACCTTTTGTGGACTGAGCTGACTAAAAGCTCTGGCGGTCTCGTACCGTCCTCTTCTCTCCTCCTCAGATGAACCATGGATGTCTCCTGGTTCATCCTGATGGTGTTGGCCGCCATCTTCGTCTCCACTATCCTGCTGGCCGTTGTCTGTCTGGACTGTAGGAACAAAAGCGTGCTGGGTGAGCTGGCGTCTCACTTCATACTGTGCAGACAAATCGGTCTAGGTGATGGTGATGGTGATGTGTGGGTTACCAGATCTACAGATGAAAGCATTTATAACTTCTTTATCCAATTCACAAACAAATGTCAAAAGTGTCACAAATAAATACAATTAGAATAAATATCAGTAATTTACACACACAGTGGGGACATTGAAATGATTTGCATTTATTTCCTGTAAAAGTCTTTTTATCTTTAGTTCCTGTAACACACTAATTTCTCTCCATGACAACATGGGCTTAACAGCTGCTGTCCTTGTTCGCTGTGACTTAACCTCAAGATATTACATCCTGTGGTTTTTCGAAGGATCTTTTTAACAGACTAAGCTCAACAATTTCCCACTTCTCATGGTCAATACACTACATTTCAAATATAATTCAACTAAATTATTCTTAACAATTTCTGTTTACTCCCAGTCTACGTCAGCCAAACACATGCTTCAGAAGAATACATACCGTAAGTCTTTTCTTCTGCTAGTTAAGACCTTCAGTTTCACATGAAATGAAATGACCATGGTGCGAGCAGCTGGGTTTTTTCTGATGTGTCTCTTCTTTCCCTCAGATCCTCTGAGTTCAGCGTCATCCGCCCATGTAAGTCTAAACGAAACTTGACAAAATCAAATCTGAAAATCTCCACTCTTGTCTTAATGATATTAACCTGACACTGAACTAATGCTGATGTAATGTTGACATTAACATTGGTCTTTAACGATGATGATAAAGGTCACTTTCTCTCTATTGAGATGCAGCCCAGACGGCCACTGATCAGAACTCCTTCACTGCTTCCTCCAACAATCTGTCACATCTGTGAGTTATTTTTTCCTTTTAATCACAAACCACACCTGGTTCCTACCTACCAAAACTAGGAGGCCTCAATCAGCACTAACTCTGACTGTAATCAATTCATCAATACTCAGTAATGTCCAAAGTAAGGCTCAAAACACAGCTGTATTAATGGATGGGCCTCCTGGGCACACGGCCAGCAACATTAATAGTTCAACTACAAAGAGACACCCAGCGACTTCAGAGAGATAATGAGGCACGTTTTTAGCTTCTACTTCAGGGTAGGCACAGTATTGCCAGTGACACCAACAATCTTGTTAGCAAAGCTCAGTGTGGAAATTGTTTATTGTTCAGGTAGTAGCTTCTGCTGGTCATCATTGTTTCTGGTTAAAATGACAGCCAGTGGGGTCCTGTCAGCTGTTGCTAACTAACGATAACTCTGTGACGAGGGACTTTTCAATCCCGGTTTCCTTCAGTGGAAACGCACAGAGCACAAAAGGTTTCTGGTCCCTGGGGAAAGTTCTTCTGGTGTAAACGGGGCATTTCTCAGTCTGGGGCTCCTCGGTAGAACTGATGTGCTCAGGGAAAAAATGCAATCCATCCATGTTTGTATGTTTATCTGATTGTTTTCAGTCCAGGCTAGGATTCAATGATTTGACCTAAATTTTATGTTTTGTGGTTCTCATCCATGCTTTGGTTTTTGAGTAATAAACAAAGGAACTTCAGAATCATCTCATGTCAGAGATTTGAGTCTACACAGATTTTTTTTTAAATTTGATTTCTTTTGACCCTCAGCTCACCTTTAGCTGTTCCTGGGACTCAGCGGAGACCCCGATCAGTCACCCCAATAGAAACCGGTTAGAACCCTTCTTTTTTTAAAATATTTTAGATGATAATGTTTTTCTTTCCCATTGTGCCAGTTTCCCTTCGGGCTGTTTTTCCACATTTAAGTCATGAGTGATACATAATTTTTATTTCATACATAAAAAGAACAAAGATGTACCTCTACCACTTTCTCTTATGTTTGTTACACTTCAACATGGCAACACTCTAACTGTGATTATTTAAAATTCTCAAAAGTATGATAGATTTATTTATTTTTAATTCTACAGGAAGTATTCCAAGTTATGAGAACCAAGCAGGTAAGGTCATGTTTGCTTTAACTGCAGTTCATTAAGCTAACTGACACTGTCAGTGCACTGTTGTCTGTAAGTCACAAACATGAAGACATTTAGGAAGAGCAGTGCTAGTCAAGTCTTAACATGGGACTTGTTGACCTTGGCCTGCTCCCTGTTGAAAGCAACACATCACAGTGTACCAGCCTTGTAAACAAATTGAGCCTACAAGACATTTGTGATGCCATTGTAGCACATGATGGTGCCTGACCTGAGTTGACTGGTGTTTCCTACAGGCCCTCAGCCTGCAGACAGCGATGCAGAAGACGCAGGATACATGTAGGTTTTTTTTTTTCTATCAAACCTGTCAGAACTGATGAAGCCTCTTGGATGAGAAGTGAAATGTCTTTGACCTAGAAATCTAGTCCAGTTTATTTTTTCTAAGTTTTATCAGTTTACTATGACCTGGATGACTGAGAATCTGCACAGACATATCAAACCTGTTTTTCCTGTAAATCAGATTTAGATTTAAGCATCTCTCTTTTAATGTAGACTGGTGTTGCCTGATGATGAGGCTCCTCCGACAACAAATCAGAGCCGAGCTTCAACGCCCAGTTCAGGTAGTTTAAGAAAAAAAAAAAAGAAAGATAAAGGAAACACTCAGGTAGTACAACAGTGAAGTCTGTGTCATTTGTAGCTCAAGTGTGAATTGATCAGCAATTTTTATTTTCTTCTTCATCCACAGATCGAAATGATTATGTGAACCTCGAACATAACGGAGACTATCTGAATGTGTACCCAGGACAGATTGCAAGTGAGTTCGTTTCCGCTGTCCATCAGCAGCAGTTCTTAGATTTTCAGTTCTTCCTCAGTGATGTTTCACACAGGAAGCCCTACTGTCTACATCAGAGGTCACCTGTACCCCAGGTGTGTACCGCTCATGTACCAGGTCCATTTAGCAGCTGTTCAGCCATATCACAACACACCATAGTACTCAGCACATGGTTTCCCAGTATTTAAAGTGCTCATACATATTTAGCCTTAATTTTTCCAAGTATAAATATCAAAAATGTGATGGTTCCAGGATCATTGATGCAAGACATTTTCCTTGCTTTAAATCATACTAAATTAAATATCAAAAAATATACCAGTAACTGTTAGTTGCATCACCCCTCAGTGATATCTATTGGAAGACTATTGTGAAATTTCAACAAACTCCATAAAAGCTACTAAAAAGGGCTTTACAAGTTTTAACCCAACAAGACTTTATGTAAATGTAGGTCTGTGTTTAGGGCCCAACTACCAGCTGAGGCTACTGTCCAGTTGTTCAGTAACGCTGGTGACCTCTGACCTTTTGTCTTGCATGCGCATCACCACCTAAACACATGAAATCAAAATCTAACGAGCAGATGATCATGAAATACAGTGGAATGTTTGAGGTCACATCCAGATTATCTGATACTGAATTTTAGACTGTCCACAACCCAAACCAGAAATGGCGGCTCAAAGCGACACCGATGATGACGACGACGACGACGACACCGATGATGATGACGAAGAAACTAACTATGTCAACCAGTAACCCGTAAATTAACGTAACTCAATGATATTTAGAGCTTTTCTTGTGCAACAGCAGTCGGCTCATTTTGTTTTCCTTTCAGATGCTTCATTAGCAATCTCAGTGCATGATGGGACGCTGACTGACTTAATGAGGACGAGTGAACGACTTCTGACAACCTGACCACAGTGAGCCTTCCAACCCCTCTTCAGTTGTCTTCATCCACCTTTGCCTGCTAGTGAAGGCAGTGTGTTTATTTAAAGAGCTGAAGCTCTGAGAAAAGAAACTGACTCGATATGAAAACGTGCAGCTCCTTTTCTCAGTTCTCGAAGGTTTATCTGAAGGAAATAAGCCCTGTAGAAACTGTTTCAGTTTTGCAATCTGTGTGGGTAGAAGTAATTCTGCCAGCAAGAGGTTTGACTTTTATCAGGCCTCTGAAAGTAGAAACACGAATCTAAAACACCAAATTGTAGCCGAGTGCAGAAAACTCTGCAAACCATGTAGATTTAAAACCAAATCTGCCTGATTTCCACTTCCACAATTAGCCATAGATGGACATAATTACACTCAAATCCCATGTGCAGACCCAAACCAGCAATGACTGTCTTTTACTAACATTGAGTGTGCATTAAAACAACATATTCTTCCTCTGTGCCATTTTGACTCCATCCTGCTGATCCAGAAACTCACTAGAGCATCAAATGTAGATTATGATGATGTGAGGATTTGGTTTTTCTCTGACTAGTATTGTGGATCACAATAAACTGAATCTTTGTTTCAGAGCATTTCTCCAACAAAACAAGGCATTTGAAGACATCGCCTCAAACTCTCTGATGGTAATTTCACATTGTGTAGACTACATTCATTTATGACTAACCACAGGAGTGGATATCAGGCACTAAACATCCACTATGCACAGCTTTTTAAATCCACTGTAAAAAGCTGTGCATACGTTGATTAGGTACACCCAGCTGAAAGTGTTGCAGTCTAACAACAGTCCTGCAATAAGTCCTCTTTAGTGAAGATGATAATGTTCAGTTTGTGTTCAAATAATTGTGCTGCTACTGAACTGTACTGCATTATACTGACAGGTGTTCCAGGTACTTAGCCTCTCCCCAGTGATACAAATGAGTTGGACAAAATAAAAGAACCATCTGTCAGTTTTTATCAACCCGTCCAAGGGCTACAGACAAACCGCATCTTCCGAAATCATCATATAGCTGAATCCACACTTCTCTAAAACCAGAATTCACCACTATCACCTACTTGGAGGAGGATTTATTGCAGGACAGTTTGATTAGACTTTATCTTGGTGTCATAAGTATTGTTCTCAGATAGTCCTAGAGCAGACTAATCTATAGCCATGCTCATGGCCCTGTGACGCCCTGTGACGCCCTGGACAAGTTTATGAGCTAAGGGCAGACCTAAAGATGGCACTAGAGGAAGAGTCAGGGGAAACAAAACAACCCCTGCTAACCCTGAATTTCCTGGCTATTAATCCAACAGCTGTTGAGATATTTCAGTCTGGACCAAGAGACCAGCATCATCTCATAGCACAAACAACATGAACGTACAGTAAATATGATCAGAGTTGTAAAGTGGAAAATAACACACTTCTCTTACACAGCTTAGTTTTTACTCCTTGAGACTTTGCCCTAATCCTTGTTTCCTGTAAATTTAACCTTTAAATGTTATTAATTTAAAGGAAATGAGAAAGATTGGGAACATTAAAATCTGTTTTTGGATATCATATAACATCAGATTATTTTTCCTGTCGGGCATCAGATAAAAATACATTGGTCTCACATGGCAATTGGTTCAGTGTCACAGTTTCTCTGTAGTTTACTCTTCTGAATTGATCAGAACAGTTAAAGTTCTGTAGTTTTTTTTAAGTATATTTTCTGTCATCTGTATCTGCAAAATATCCTTTTATTTTTTATTTTTTCCTGGTTAAGCCTTTCCTCCAGTGTCTGACACAGAGGTTTGGACAGACTGAAATATTGAGCTTTACTCCAGTTTTACTGACAACTCCTGAGAATGTCTTAATCACATGATTTATTTACAACGTATTTATGTTTTTGTTGTCTTGAACTAGAAATGTTTAACTACAATTTAATTAAACCTTTAAAAAAAACTTTAAACTGTCAGACTTAATTTCCTATAGCAAAAACCAATTTCTCTGAACCCTTTTTTTTCCTTTTAACATTTCACGATCACTGGCGCGATGCCTGGAACTATTCCTTGTCAAGCCACAGTCTGTGTTCACCCCCTAAAACCACAAACTGCCATCTTTACATTTCAAATTAAACACTTATGAAACTGGAGTTCACTAATGATCATCCTGTCAGTTACATCTGCTACAGTGTGGTAAAGGGTATGAAAATTAAAATATATATATTTTTTAAGTGGTTTTATTAGTAATGAACTGGTTTCGTCTGAAAAGACAGAGGTGGAACTGGGCGTAAAAACAATGTTTTCACTGTCGTAAGTCCAAAAGCTTCCACCAGTTTGTCTTGAGTCCAGCTTCATGTCCATGCGTGTAAACAGTCTGTACTTACATAGTAAAATCCACTAAAACTTTCTCCTCAAAGTTGACTGAATCTTGTCCTGTGAGAAGTTTGTCTTCCCTCTGCTTTTCTAAATTCTCTGGGAAAAAATAAAGATGTTAACTTTATGTCAAGAGGTGGGAATGTTATGAGTGGCTTGGGATTTCGTCACGTAAACACTGCTGTCTTCGCTCCAGACTCCAGCTGTGACAAGGACACTTCAGTTTGCAGAGGGATGGAAGGACAGTTGCTGGGTCGGGTGAGCCTGAACTTGAACAGCTGCAAGGCAATGCACAAAAAACTTAAACGTGAACCCCTGTAAAACCACAACATTTGGTGTTTATACGAATTAAATGAATTTGATATCAAATGTTTAGTGTGCTTTCAAAGCACTGGTAGAATTTTGTGATCTCTGGTCACAACCAGGATGTTTCAGCTGGTCTCTAGTCTTTCTGCTAAAATAAGCTAATCAGCTGCTGGCTATAGATTCATACAGTATTTACTGTACAGGTATGAGTGGTGTCAGAGTGAATATTTAAAACCTCAGGACAAACAAGATTTCTAAAAATATTACAGTACTGCTTCAAGGTATTGAATTTGACACTTCAGAGGTGAGCAGCTGCAGCAAAACTAGACTCAGCATGTTAAAGGAGCTGCATGTGAGGCGCATGTGAGCTTTAACACCTCACTATCACCCAGATTTTCTTCTGTTTCCTCTGATATATTTTTCCTGAAGAGGAAAAATGTGCCCTCATTCACAGGACAAGGTCTATATCTAAGATGTTTTACCTTGGGGGGGCCCGATGTAGAAGTGTTGCGGTGCTCCCTGTTGGGGTGGTGGGCCGTGTGGGGGGTTGGAGCCACTACCCTGCTGAGGGGGGCCGTAGTGAAGCATGACGGGTGGGTGGCCGTGACCACCAGAGTGGTGAGGTCCTGTGACATGAGCCTGCAGAGGACAAACAAAACAACAGGTCCAGTTTTAATAGATGTAATATTCTAGATAAGATCTTACATATACAGGATGAAATTGTAATTCAGCATAAATTCTAGTAGGACCATTTCTGACATCCCACATCAGATTCTCTTAAAGACTAAGCTGTTGACAGGCACCTGTGTGAGTTGGCTGATTGAAGGGAAGCCGTGTGGCAGTGGCTGGTGGGCGGAGAGGCTGTATCCCTGCATGGTGTAGGAGGCCTGGGGGGAGCTGTGGCCAGGTGGCAGGGTTGGAGGGGTGGGAGCTGAGAGACCTCCAGGATGAAACATAGACTGAGGCTGTGGACCACCCTGACTCGACTGCGAGTGAAAACAAGTGGAAAAGTGTTTGACAGAGATAACAAGTATAATACGTTGCCTGGTTGTGTCAAACGACCTTGTTCACTGACAAACTACTATATGTTTAAGCCCATTTACTACAAATTGCTTGTACAATATTAATAACCATTTTATAAAATTCCCCCATGTTTTTTTCCATCATCCAGGCAGGCTGGTTTACATTCATTTCAGTAAAGTGTGAAAATAAACAAAGAGAATATGAATATTCTTATAGTCATAATTTACAGCTGAACAATCAGAACTGTGGTTAAAGCTCAGACTCTTCTTAGAAGTCGTCCTGGGCTGCTGCATTCAAGTGCTGGAAGGCAGCAACAGAAAATCCAGAACACTGTGGTGTGTAGTGAAGTGAGTCAGCAGAGCTCACCTGAGTGTGTCCTGTACTGGGTGCAGTGTGTTGGGGTGGGGGTTGATTCCCAGTAGGGGTACTGGAAGGCTGAGGGTGGATGGAGCCCGAATGGTGAGAGAATGACTGAGGAGCTAAGGCAAAGAGCAAATAACAAAAAAAGAATGATAGTCGGGAAATATAATTTTGTAACTTCAGTCCAGAAGCACTGTTCCCTGTTATTCCTTTAATGCTTATAAAAACAGATACCTTCCAGTAATCTGAGGGATTCCAGTGTTTCTCATCCTGAAGTTACAAAGAGCTGACCTGCACTTTCTGTTTCCATGCTATACGTGTACAGCTGAAGTTAAAAGTTTACATATACCTTCGCCAAATAAATGTACACTCAGTTTTGCATAACTCCTGACATTTAATCCCATAAACATTCCCTGTCTTAGGTCAGTTAGGATCACTACCTTATTTTTAGAATGTGAAATGTCAGAATAATAATAATAATAATAATAATAATGAAAAAAGACTGACCAGCGTTAATTTCTTTCATCACATTCCCAGTGGGTCAGAAGTTTACATACACTTGGCTAGTATTTGGTAGCACTACCTTTAAATTGTTTAACATGGGTCAGATGTTTCAGGATGCCTTCCACAAGCTTCTTACAATGAGTTGCTGGACTTTTAGCCCATTCCTCCAGACAGAACTGGTGGAACTGAGTCAGGTCTGTAGGCCTCCTTGCTCCCACAGCCTTTTTCAGTTCTGCCCAAAAATTTCCTATTGGATTGAGGACAGGTCTTTATTATGGCCACTCCAGCACCTTGACTTTGTTGTCCTTAAGCCATTTTACCACAACTTTGTAAGTCTGTTTGGGGTCATTGTCCATTTGGAAGACCTTCTGTGACCAAGCTTTAACTTCGTGACTGATGTCTTGAGATGCTGCTTCAACATATCCACATAATCTTCCTTCCTCATGATGCCATATATTGTGTGAAGTGGCCCAGTCTCTCCTGCAGCAAAGCACCCCCACAACATGATGCTGCCACCCCCATGCTTTATGGTTGGGATGGTGGTCTTCAACTTGCAAGCCTCCCCCTTTTTTATCCAGACATAACGATGGTCATTATGGCCAAACAGTTCAATTTGTTTCATCAGACCAGAGGACATTTCTCCAAAAGTAAGATCTTTGTCCCTATGTGCAGCTATAAACCATAGTCTGCCTTTATGGCGGTCTTGGAGCAGTGGCTTCTTCATTGCTGAGCAGCCTTTCAGGTTTTGTTGATACAGGACTTGTTTTACTGTGTATACAAATACTTCAGTACTTGTTTCCTCCAGCATCTTCACAAGGTCCTTTGCTGCTGTTCTGGGATTGATTTGTACTGTTCAGACCAAAGTACATTCATCTCTTTGAAACAGAACGCGTCTCCTTCCTGAGCGATATGATGGCTCCATTGTCCCATGGTGTTTACACTTGCGTACTATTGTTTGTACAAATGAACGTGGTGCCTTCAGACGTTTGGAAATTGCTCCCAAGGATGAACCAGACTTGTGGAGGTCCACGATTTTATCTGAGCTCTTGGCTGATTTCTTTTGATTTTCCCATGATGTCAAACAAAGAGGTACTGAGTTTGAAGGTAGGGCTTAAAATACATTTACAGGTTGACCACCTATTGAATCAGATGATGTCAATTAGCCAATCAGAAGCTTCTAAAGCCATCACATCATTTTCTGTAATTTTCTAAGCTGTTTAAAGGCACAGCCAACTGAATGTATGTAAACTTCTGACCCAATGACAAAATGTGCAGTCACATTTATTTCCTATGTAGGAGATAAGAACTCAAACATCTGCAACACATCTTTTCTGTTCGGAGCCCTGAATTCACAACTAGTGACTCACTGTGAGGGCAGATCACAACAAACTAAACTACATTAAATAAAATGTATGTTTTGGTTAACATAATCCTGTTGTGACTCATTAAAATAAATCTGTTCAATTGAACCTAGATATGATCACCCCACTTCCTGCTTACCATACAAGGCCTGTTGTGGCCCTGGCGGGCCCTCAGCTTGGCTGGGGTACTGGGGGCCAGGAGGACCCATTGGCTGAGGAGGGGCCCCAGATGTCAACATCCTAGCACCCCCTTGTAGCATAGAGTAAACTGGCTGGAAATAACAAGAGAGACAATAGAGGGTGTTTTTAAACATACGGATAAAAAAAACCCTGTCAAACCAAGAGTAAACCAAAGATTTTATCAAATGCTCATGGAACCAAACAGGAAATTATATTAGATTAGTTTAGTTCCTGTGACAAAAAAATTATGCAATAGTCCAACTCTGTAGCGGGGGTTTTATTAAGAGAGGTTTTTGATGTACTACAAATCCGATTTAGATGATGAACATTTACATTTTCAATTTGACTTTGTCTAGGAGCATGTGCTGCATGCCTTCTCTTCCTGTTTCCTGTCAGATAAAAAAAAAATGTCACATCGAAAAAAATCTAAATAAAAGATTAGAGTGTCATTATGCCCTTTGACTGAGATCATAGTAGATTTACACTCTTTGTCCAAAATAGACATTACTGTTGGTCTACAACCTGGAAGTAGGATGTTACTTTAACCTTTACCACCCAACCTTGGGGCCAGGACTTCATGTAGGGTCCCTGACACTCAAAGAGTCACAATAAATTTCTTTAAGTCCCCCTCCAGTCAAAAGCCTGTGTTTCTTCTAGTTCCTTTACTGTGATGGTGTTCACAGTTCACAGAGTGAATTACAAGCAGAGTTTACACTCACATTCATCCCCTGAGGGTGGCAAGTTTCTCTAAGCTCAACTTAAATCTCTGGACATACCTGCAGGATTTATGACATCACAACCAGTTTGGAGGCAATCATGGTCCAATATGAAACTTACATGGTGTGATGTTGAAACTTGAAGCCTCCATGTTCCAAACACTGACAATGGGCTTTTCAGGGAACTAGGAAACATCTCGTGTCCAACAGGTAAATGTTTGAAATCCTATATTCAGAGATTCTGGATTCATCCATAAGGGAGATGGAAGAAATGTATTTTTAAGAATTTTTAACCAACTGGGTTTGTCGCAACTCTTCATTAAAATCTGTTGCTTAAAGAAATCCAATATTGAAAGAAATAAATTAAATAACAGGGAACAAGAAAATGTCTGGAACCTAAAATTGGGATGCTGAAATAAAAAGGGTGGAGTCCTCTCAACTAAACTGTCTAAAATGAACATTATCCAGAAAAACGTCAGCTCACTAATGACAGCTGAACTTCTCACCACCTTCATGGCACCAGCACAACCATCAATTATTTTAATGGAATTCCTTCAGATCGTTTCTGGGTGAGAATTCACTCTTTAAAAATTCAACCAGGTTTTATATTTCAGTGACAAGCTCTTATCCTGTGCTGAATTATTTATTAATGAGACAGACATATCTCAAAGTAACCTTGGTTTAGCTAAAAATCAGTGAGCTTCTGCTGTACCTGCCCGTGGTAGTGTGGGGGCATGGCCTGGATCACCTGACCATATTGCAGGTAGGACTGGGGGTAAGGCGAAGCCACCAGCGGGGGTCCTGCTGCAGAGGCTGCAGCTGAGATCATGGGGGAGGCTGGGGAGGTGTGGTGCTCCGGACGGGGTGCCACCATCGGACCTGAAATGACAGAACAAGTGCTCAATGTTTCACTTGAATTATAAGAACCAGGATGACCAGTAATGCTAATGCTTAAAAAAAAAAAAAAAAAAAACACATGCTGAGAGATCCAAATGAAAAAAGTTGCTATTAATGGATTTTGTCGCCCATGTTTTCTCTGGTCTGCACCTTGTGTGTGTGTGTGGCTAAGCTCTGCACAGACACACAACAGCAGTCCAGCGTCCTGTAATGAGACAGCACTATGGAGAAACGCGATACTCCATGGGGAAATATTCTGGGCCGATGCAAAATATTAATGAAGATCAGTGGAAAACACACTTAAGCACATCATCGTGGAGATAGTCCGGCCATATTAGGAGGGACAGGCAGGGTAATGTCCACGTGAGCTTCCCTGGACATTTCCCACTCATGCCTTTCCACACACACAGCTTGCTTGCACAGACAATATCAGGACTTCACTTCATGTCTACAAGAGGTACAAGTAGCTTACTATTTTATGAGTGAGGACCAAAAAAAAAAATCTTTGCTTTATATGCAGACTGTTGTTTAACCCTTAAGTGTTATGGTGAACAGCTGAAAAAAACTGAAAAGCCTTATTATTCTCAGGCAGGTTCTGCAGTTGTTTTTTGGATTTATGGGCATTTACTTGCAATGGGGCATCAGAGATGATTTCTGTTTCTCCAAACCCCCAGTTTGAAAAACTCTGCTCAAATATTTTCTGTTTCTGCTTAGAGTCTGCACAGACACACAAAACAAAACTGACTCAAAGAAAAATGTATACATGTGTATATGGTATATACCTTTGGCTCTGGGGTATTTGCCCTGGTTAACCGTCGACATGGTGTACTGATACATTTGTGGTGCCTGAGGATGAGGCAAGGAGACATTAAAGCAGCGTCATGTTTTCTGAGATGAATCTTTACTGCCATCTGACTAGTGAGCCAATTCGTTCTTGGTCACAGACAGCAAAAGGACTGAATTAAAGTTCAGAAACTCAGACCTGGATGGAGTGTCCTTGGAGGGGGATGGGAGGGATGTAGGAGAGGTAGTGTCCAGGCGGACTGCTATAGAGACCCCCCCCTCCTGGCTGTCCTGGAGGAGGTAGCACCACAGTAGGGGTGGGAGGTACTGATCGAGGAGGAGTGGGGGTTGATGCAGGTTTCTGTCACAACACAAAGATGGAAATCAAGTCAGAGAGCACAATCTGAAGTCAGATTCAGCTGTCTGGTAGGTTTACAAACCTTATAATCTACTGGATGTGACTGACATGTCTCTCAGTGACAACTGATATAGTACAACTGTGTCATATCCATCATATTATTGTTAAAGGCCAAAAATCTTCATGAATTGACAGCTTATATTGATTAAAGTCAGTACTGTTGCTTTATAGTGGGCTACCATGACACAAAATGAAACAGCTGTTCGTGTCAGCTCCAACAAACTAACCAGCACTGCGGTTCCTTTTATGGGAAGAAATTCTTTTGCATTCGGATTCAGGGTTGAGTTTTTCACTTGCCTGAAATACAGCAAACAAGAGAAGGGATTATTAAGCCACAAAAAAAGCAGAAACAACTGCATAAAAAGGCCTTTCCATTAAAGTGTACCAATAAAATCCAAACATTTTATTTCTTTTCACAACAGTTTCTGTCTGAGCTGCCATTTACAATAATATGAAACAGATAAGATCTGTAAATCTAAAGATTTGAGAGGCCAGTACTGAAGTGCAAGATTATTATTAATTACTGTTCAGCAGTAGTGAACCTCCACCTAATAAAATTAACCAGTCTCAGAAATCTGTGTTGTTAACCCTTGAACCTTGTGCTTTTCCTCCTTTTAGGCAATTTTTTGTGGTATACACACTACTCATCTTAGCTGCATAAGCCCTGTGTGTCCAGATTTGACAAAGTTACAAATTATGAGGAAGTGATTTTTGTCCCAGATGCAGACATGTATACAAACACAGTGAATGTACTGCAGTAGTAGTAGTTCTAGCAGTTCTATCCTTATCCTTATTGTCCTTAACAGTAATAACAGTTACTTACACTGCAGCTACACTCACAGCCTCTGCTCGTTCACTGCTCTCTGGACAGGACTCATCACTGCTGCTGGGGGTCGGGGTCGGCTGTGGCGTCTCAGGCTGCGACCTCTCTGGCCCTGAGGCCTGGGGGCCAGCTGGAGCTGGAGGAGTAGGCACAGCAGGGGACATGGTAGGGGGAGCTACCTGTGTAGCTTGCTGCAGATCTGCAGAGGAGGTGGAAGGTTTAGGCGGGCCTGGGGACGATGAAGAGGAGGAGTCGACAGCTGGTGCAGAGCTCTGCTGAGGAGGATCTGCAGAGGCTGGGGTTGCTGAAGGAGAGGAGCTGGGCTGACTTTCGGTTCGCTCTTTAGCTGCTGTGCTGAGGATTTCATTCACTGTGCAAGATGAACAAAAAGACTGAAATCCAGCTGGAAGGCCAATTGCTATGAGAGTTTTGACATTTGATAAATCCAGTTTCACCTGTCTTAATATCTCTGTTTCAATTAAAGCATACAATTAAATGCTGGTCAAAGCTTTAAAGACCTAAGATTCCAAAGAGTACATTCCTTTGGATGTACAGTTGTGAGCATATCGTTTAAAACTGTCACTTTAAATCATCTTATTCTGAAAGTCAAATGATCACATTTTCAGTTTTTCCCTGGACATAGCAATATAGCAATGTGCACAATTTCATGTCCTACTGTATATATGCAGAAAATTTGGGTTCCATCATTTGTTAAATACATTGTTAATCTGTTATTTGTACCGATCATTCATTAAACAAGAATCTCAAACATCTTTTTGTCAAAGAATTTTGAGATATTTGGTGGTTTTTTTTTATACCTTTGGGTTCTGGACAATTCAGCAGACATAATAAGCAATATGAAGATGTCCAAATTTTTTTTTTTTTTTTTATAAAATGACCAAGTTATTAAATGGGTAATTCACATAATACTTAAGAGACTCGTTGATAGTAAAACAAATTACACTAGCCTACAACCAAAATGCTTCTGTAACAAAAATAATTGATCTTTGGTAATTCTGGACCACTGAAAACAAAAATGATATTTACAACCGTTGACTGGCTCTGGCTTGAAAGACATGTCACTTACAAAATGTTTCACTCAGTATTCCTCACTGAATAGCAAACAAAGCAATCTGGTAGACTTGGAACAACTATGCCATGAGCAATGTGCTAAGATTATACCTGAAAGGACACAAATGCTGCTCAGAGGGTACCCAACAACTGTACTGGCTGAATGTGCATTAAATATTATATGGATGAAAAACAATGTCCTTGTTTTACTTTTTTTGCCATTTCAAGTAGACGTAAACTTTTACGCCCAACTGTTAGGTATTTTTAGTCAGATAGATATTGGATAGATACTTTATGTATTAGAAATGTTTAGTGGAGATAGGATGTCTAGTTAGACTGTTAAATGCTTAGTCATGCTTATGAGTTTCTACAGGGTACATCTGGTCAAGGATAACTAGAGAAAAGTTGATGACTGTCAGCAGACAGGGTGTTTAATATTATTATTACGACGTGTATAACTGTAGCCTTAGCCATAATATGTTCTTATGTTTAAGTCACGACATGTTACTAGAGGTCGTGTGAGAATGTTTTTAGCTACACACCACTTAATCAACAGACACACATGCACATTGATTTGCTTCATGTTTTGACTATTGCTAGAGCCAGTTGCAGAGCTGGCAACAGAGACGTCTCGGTTGACGTTTCTGTGTAGTATGGGGCTAGCCCAACCGAGGGGATATAATGTATAGGCCTGGTGGGTTCAGGGTCTTTCATCTTTCATCTGCCTGCGAGCAGTTTGGAGGTGCAAGATGCCTGAGCGTGTAATGTTAATTTTGCCTGTGATCCTTTGAATAAATCAGCACTGTTTTGAAGTTACTTGGACTGTCTCGTCTCTCAGAGTTAGCAATGGTAACAAGAACTGGAAACCAACAACTATATCTATCTGACTAAAAATACCTAACACAACTGTAAACAACAAAGAGTTAATGTGGATGTACTGTATGTGCAGTGTGATACCACCCACTGGGATTAAAGAACCTGTGAACTCTTACCTACATAACTGATCACAAATAAACTGTTCATGTGGAGCCTTTGTCTGAATATTTAATAATCACAGACTTGAACACTTAACATAATGTCTCACCATCCACAGGGAAGAGGGGGGTGGGGCCAGAGGGTTTGCAGCTGGATGCTGTGGTGATAGTGGAGGAGGAGACATCCAGGAAGCCAGGGCCAATCAGGGCGAGGTCCTGGGGAGGGGCTTCGGGTTTTGCAGCACGAGAAACTGACAGATGGATAAATAGAAAAAAACAGAGATGGAGGTAAATTAATGCTGTGTCCACGTGACGAAACAAACTCATCTGTGATGAACATTTTTCCACCCGTTTCTGTTTGTATTAACCTGCAGGTGAGGACTGGGAGTTTGGGGTTCGCAGGTTTCTGTTGCTTTGAAGTCTCTGGGATTTTGGGGAGGATCTCGAAGCAACTGAAGAAGAGAGAAAAGCAGTTAGGACTGACACACCACCACACAAATGCACACACTGAACAGCAATGTTTACAAATGTGGACTACTGGTTAATAGCCTGCCATTTGTGCTCTCTCTCCAAGTTTATGCATACACAACCCTTCCCAGACTATTTCCTGTCCCATGTGCTTTTGACCACACCCTGAAGGTAAATTTCACCAGGTGATTTTTGAATCTTCGTGTAGGCATGAATATGCTTAACTAACATCTTTCTGACACTCCTTCAGAGAGGCGTCTTAATAAAATCTATTTGTGAAACAGGAAAAATCCAAAAACAAGCCTCGTTCTCGCTTAACTGCAATAAATAGAAGCACTGTCCACTATTTGGGAATGTCTGTTACATATCAGCATTTGTCTTCAAGCCTTAAACCACCTCTATACCTCCATTAACAGATGAGCATGTTGTATCAGCCAGCGCCTGTGGGTGTGAGAGGGAGTGTGGGAGAACATGATTGGTGCAGGGAGGGCTGCTGGCTCCAGGCGGACTGCACTGAGTCTGGTGGGGAGAGTAGGAAGTTCTGACAGACTGCGGGCTGCTCCTATCAGAGGGCGGTTTGGGTGAGGAGGAGCTGGGTGGTGGATGTCTGGAAGATGTCAGTGCTGTGGTTCGACCGGAAGCTCCACCCCTCATGTTGCCGGCAGACAGGCCGATCTCTCGAGCCCTCTGCGGAAGAGGAATGTATTTGCCTTCCCTGGAAAACCAGATTGAAGAAGCAAGGTGGTGAGAGGAATTTCTGGAAGATGATCAGATTTTATCCGGTCCATATTCAAAGGTGCAGTGTGTGAGATTTAGTAACATCTAGCACGGAGGTTGCAGATTGCAACATTCAGCAAAAACATTCAGTAAACCTCTCAAACATTATGTTGAACAGCCCTCACATTGATTACTGTAAATGCAGGACAAATTGCACAATCGGAAATAAGGTAGCAGAGCTAAATCAGCGAACAAAAACAGTGCATTAAGTCACTCTCACCTGCTGGTGGAGGAGAACCCAGGGCTGGCCCTGTCCTCTCTCTCTCGAGCCACAGAGCTGTATTTTTCCTCTTCACTCTTGCCCTCGTCATTCTCTATAGAAACCCGTCGACGGTACTGCAGGCTGCCCTCGATCTCGTTGGCTAACCGAGCTGCTCGTGCCTCACGCTGCCGGTAAACGTCTGAGTTCCCCTTTTCCAAAGGCATACTGGGATACCAGATAGGAGACGTAAATACCAGACCATCAAGAAGGTAACATCACTGGGAATAAAATTTGTTTTCAACTTAATGATTTAATGGCGTTGGAGCAGTGACTGGTTATGAAGGGATAAACTGATGCATTAGAATATGTATTTCAGCCATGACACTCCCAGTAATTTTGTTTTTCTTTAGAGTTCATTTATTTTGGGCATTTGGACAAATGAAGAAAATCAACTAAATTACTGCAACTGGTATTAGTAATAGCATTATTCTGACATATATCACATGAGGAGTGAAATGCCATTCATTTCTTTACAACAGTTTTGGCCCCCATTTCTTTTAGTTGGGAAAACATTTTTCTCAGTAGGCTTAACGTGTAAAATAAAATAACCCAAACATACGTCTACTTTAAAAGGTTGATTGGATTTTGACAATTCCCAATCTCATCCTCATATTTTTTTTACAATTTTCTCTAAATAAATAGTCTGTGTTCTTGTCCTGTCCTGTTCCACATTCTTAACAACACATTTAGAAAGTAAAATGTTGTCATATCTGATAAGAATGATCAAATATAAAATATTTAAATATAAAAATGGGAAAAGTCCTATAATGCCTTATAATGTTGGTGAGTGAGCACTGAATTTATTCTACTGTCACATTCACTCTAAGTTACTCTGGATAAGATGATTGCATAAATGTATTAAACTGTAAATGTTTAGTGACAGCTGACTGAGGGGCAGACTCACGTGTACATGGAGAGGCTGGAGTCATAGGTGGACTTGATGCCGTATGCCTCCTCATTAAATCTGAACATCTCGTTGGCATCCCAGCCGTTTGACTGACAGAGAAAAAGTAAAAAAATAAAGTGAGATGAATTTATCAGCGCTCTCTGTTATAGTGGAGACACTTTCTAAATTAGTTCAACCTATCTTGACATTAGACTCTTCTTCTCCTACTCTTGAGGGCTCCCATTAGGGGACGCCACAGCGAATCATCGGTTGCCACCCAACAGATGATACGCATGCTAAACACCGGATTATCTTGACATTACACTATTCACTTTTTTGGACATGGCCAGATTTCATTTCATAAAACAAATCCAGTAAAGTGTGTGTCTCCTCACTGTGTCCGATTCCAGCTCGAAGTTTTCTCCATTTCCATCTCCGTCCCATCTTTGCAGCACCTTCTCCCTGTGCTCCCCATTCACCCGCGATGAACCGATGGCTGTGTCAGTGAATGTGTCTGTATACAGATAAACACATACATACCACAGACAGGACAAATGCTATTACCACCAATTAAGTGTTATCCAAAGGAATTAGTTGTTGAGCTGCAACCTGCAGGTTACATTTTTTTACAAAATGTGTGCATAACGTGTCATGAAAATGATCATAAGGTATAACCGACAACTTCAGCTTGCTAACACTAGAATCCTAAAGTCTGGTTACATAGCTGTGCAAACAAGTCACCAACCTAACACAATTGCAGTTTTATTTTCATGTGGTGTTACAAGGCTTTAGGAGACAGTGCAGGCCATATAGCACCAGCAAAGGACGATCTTTGGCTTCTTTTCCTTTTTGTCATTATTTCTCCTAATCCTTGTCTGTTCCCAGTCTCTTTGACACCTACAGTAGTAGGCTCATAATTATTGGCTGTAGATTGTTATGTGCATATGAATATAGTTTTTCAACCTTTTCGGTATCAAACATAGCATAGGAAGTAATAGATAACATGGTAAACTTAAGCCATTCACCCTTTTCTGATATCACCTCCAATTTGTCTTTTTTCAGTGTATAATAGATACAGTACATTTCTTTTAAAAATGCTGTTTTTATATCACTTCCCTATACATTGATTCACTGGAGTTGCTAACCTGTTAGTTGCACTTTAGGGTTAAAATCATTTGAAACAACATGTTAAATAGAGGGCTGCAGAGGTATTGGTAGGTGTATTCTTTGTCAGTCAGGCTAGCTGTTTCCCCTTGTTTGCGGTCTTTACGTCCTGACTCCAACTCTGTACTTAAAACACAGAAATGAGATTGTTCACCTGAACACTTAGATGTCTGAAATAAAGGAAGTAAGTTTTCACAAAATGTTGGTGCATTTCTTAGACAACAATGTAGATACCCATGCTGGCTTTCCTTTCATGCAAGCACTTTCTGTGTCACAAGACAAAAATCAGCTGTCCCCCCATGTGCCTGGTTACCTCTGACAGCAAAGTTGAGGTCAACATCCTGGCAGGTCATGGTGACCAGGTCAGTCGGGCTGAAGATCATGGTGTCGGTGATATCCTCAGTTCTGGGCAGAGAAGCCTGGTTTTCTCCCCCTCCTCCCTCACCTCCTCCTCCTACATCCCCATCGCAGCGTTTATGAACAGCATCCACAGCCAGCTCACACTGGGTGTAGACAGTGGAAAGAACACAGTCAAATCACATTTGATTATATAATTATTGCTGTAGCTGTGAGAATTAGTGCAACAGTTGTGTCTATAATGTGCCAGAGAATGAAGGAGTCAGAGACCAGACCAGAGAATGTAAAGAACCTTTTACCTGTGAGCTCAGAGTCTTGAATATTCCTTCATACACTGTGCCATTTTTCACTCTCACATCACAGGTGGAACCCTGAAAGAAGTGGCGAGGAAAGCTTCAGTCTTTCTGTACATGTTGCTTACACAAAGATCTGCATAAAATCAATTTAAACCAGGACTCGAGGCTGATAGGTGAGTGCAATACTCACCACAACTGCTGTGAGAAAATGAAGCATGCGGGCATTGTTGTAGACACCTTCAAATACCTGCAAATACAGATGACATGTGAGCATGAGCCACAGTGAAGAACAAATATATCACTACAGCATGCAAAAAGATTAAAGTTCTGGGGATTTTTTTTTTTTTTGGCTATGGCTACTGTACTACCACAAAATCATCAGAGGCCTGGATTGGCCATATTTTTGAAGCCAATACTGATATCAGAATTTGAGAGTTTAAAAATCAGTTAGTAATATATGGTCCAACATTCCTCTTACTGTAATTTGTATAAGATAAACATTTTAACACTATTGTGCTGTTTAAAAACAGCATTTCTAATAAAGATTGCTTAAATTTGGTATCTCTTATACAACTGTGTCTTTTCTTCATTCAGTCTACACATTCTCGCCAATGTGTGGTAACCCTGTCTCTCTCAATTATTAGAGTAATTTTTTAAAGGAAATTCTAAAAAAATAGCTGTATCCAGCCTGTTTTGATTTCTGAGTAATGGAGTGCTGCTGACGTGGCTGGTTTCGAGTAGGTTCTTCATCTCTGCAGAGGACTTCTGAAGCTCTAAGGTGGCAGAAAGTAACTAACAAATAGTAGTAATACTGTACCTAAGGACATTGTGAGGCAGTATTACTAGTTTATGGGACTACAACTGCATTTACTGGGCATATATTACACTTTTTAGTCCACCAGTTTATTTTGTGGATCAAGATTTTACATACAAACAGATTTTAACATTATATGATATCATATCATACATTGTTATTGCTTGAAAACAAACCAAACAGTATGTTAAGTAATTATACTTGGCTCCAGTTCAACCAGCTGCAACATTAAAAGGCTATTTAGATATTCAACATAATAATGTAAAATCGTAAGAATCAGAGATGTATGTTTATGCATAATGAGTACTTTACCCTTTGATACTTTTTGCTTGTAGATTTTGCTGACAATACCACTGTCTGTGTTTTAATAACAACAATAATAACGTATATGCACTGATGTACTGCTACTTCAACTTTAGTAGGATCTCAGTACTTCTGCCACTAATTAAATGTGGGTGTGATGTTGTACACACACACATACATATATTATATCTATACATACATACATACATACATACACACACACACACACACATATATATAAAACAACTTTTTAGCATGTTGCTAATACATGGTGCCTGTCAGTAGCGAGGACAGCTGAGGAATGGGATGTTCACAGGAAAAAAAAACAGTTGTTATTATTGTTCCTAAACACTAAAATTATTTAAGTTCTTATTTTAACAAATAGGACCATTGTACTACCTGGGATAAATATTTCAACAGCTGCTAAAAACAATAACAGCTTAGCTGTCAGTACTTACTATGCTCCGTACAGGGGATGACTGAGCCTGTGATGGTGGTTTCATTGTGTTCTTAGTCCTGAAAATGTTAAGGGGGAAAAAGTCCGCTAATTACTAAAGGTCTCAGTTGCACCTTCAATGAGAACAATAAACATAATCTTATTGCGGAACCGTTCTAGCTAACTAGCAAGAAACTTCAATGTTGACATGGCATGATGTGGTAAAAGTTAGATTAACTACCACCGTGTAAACAGTTTCTCTTAACGATAACGTAGAAAATACTCTCGGTTGTTGTTGTACAGAAGAGTGAAATTAGCTAGCTAGGTAAGCTAAAGCAGCTAGCTTAGCGTCGACGTCGAATTTTAAAAACAGACACAGATAAACAACTAAAAATGATGCTGGCATTACATTAGAAACTGACAGGTCAGCAAATCTTAGTATGTAAACAGTACTTTTTAGTCATGTGCATCCCTCTTCTTCCAATCTCGTCTCTTGCAGTAAAAAGTCCAACGTTTTGACAGGCCAAAAACGATACACCGCTGAAAAACAAAACGCGGCACCGGGAGCGCTCGATTTGTTACCACCCGTTAACTGCTCTTCATGTGATACGGGTCGACTCTGACAGGCGGACTACTCCAGACATCGGAATCCAGTAAAATAGTTTCATTTATATTTCTAGGTGGTTTTGCTGTTTCGAAAGTCACCTTAACCAGTAACGTAGTTAGTCATAAGGTGGCAATATGTGATATATCAGAAGTAGGTTAAGAGCAACCGGGCTTAACCAAGTTGCTTTAACAAACGCACAAATTGTAAACGCCGCCTACTAATATACTACAAACTCTTATTAGACAAGCTCCTGTCAATCATTTTTGACTCTTTATCTCATTAGCTTAATCTCGTGTCAATCATCACTCTTACAGCATGACAGTCCTACTAAAGGTTGTGTGCGACCATTTTATTTTGGTGAAAATATTACACATTCAAATTTTTTGCAACAAACGTGAGCTGAACTACATTCAGTTTAACCCTATGCCGTGCAATATATGAAATTCTAAAAGGCTGTTAACTTATTTGAGACAATAAGGCAATACGTGAACCACATAAAACTTTTGTGTTTTTGGTGCATACTATTAGACTACACCTGAAATCAATATGAACGATTAGTATTGCACAGCTTGCATCCATATCTTAAAGTCAACATTTACATTCACCTTGGTGACAGTCGTGAATTTTTATTTTAGAGATGTGTTGATTCAGATCATTGTGGAAGATTGCATTGCAGAACTATAGTCACTGGCATTTCTATTATTTTGTCCAAACATTTATATCAATGAGGCTCTGTTAGATAAGCAAGCACCTCTGTGTACAGTGGAGTACAGTCTGAAACTGTTTCAACAAAAACACAACACTATAAACTTCACAGGCTAGGATAAATTGCAGGATGGCTGGATTAGTTTTAGCTTGGTGTAACTAATAAACTGGCAACTGACTGCTTGTTTTTCTGCTCCTTACACATCCAGATGACTGGGAAACTACAGCAGAAGTGATCAGGGAGACAGGTAGGAAGGAAGGTGCTAGGTGTGTCATCTGGAAGGAGGAAAGAAGATAAGGAAACATGGTGGTGGAACAAGGAAGTACAGGACAGCATTCAGAGGAAGAGGCTAGCTAGAAAGAAGTGGGACGTAGAAAGGACTGAAGACAGTAGACAGGATTACAAGAAATTGCAGCATAGAGTGAAGAGGGAGGTGGCAATGGCCAAACAGAAAGCATATGATGAGTTGTATGCCAGGTTAGACACGAGGGAAGGTGAGAAGGACTTGTACAGATTAGCGAGACAGAGAGATAGAGATGGGAAGGATGTGCAACAGATAAGGGCGATTAAAGACAGA